AATGCAGCACAGACGCGTGCCTTCCTGTCTGTCGGCCGACGATGACGGACGAACAATCGTTACGCTGAGTTTCTCTTCAGCACGTCTGCTTTTCCACCTGGAGTGAGTGTTTGCAGAGTGTCAGGCCTGACAGAAGATGCGTGCACCAGCTTTTTGTCCAGTGTGTTGGCCTTCACCTCGTCCGCCCCCGAGACCTTCAGACATTATGACATAGTAACGAGTGTCTCCTCATTTCTGAGGTCTGGCTTAATAACAGCTAACCTGTGATTACTGCTCCCAGCCCAGATGTTAGCTTTCCCTTTTTAACATCCTGTCATTACTCACTCCAGAGTCAGCTTATTATGGGATGGAGCATGTGTGTCTGCGTTGTGATCAACGTGTGGTCAACATGCATTTGTCAAAATCTGTCAAATTATTCAGTCTGGTGATGAGATTACTGCCACAGATGCAATTTCAGGTCTAATTGTTGAGTTTACGAACAAATCAGTCACTGACCTGTGTGTGTGTGTGTGTGTGTGTGTGTGTGCGCGTGTGTGTGTGTGTATTTAGTCTTGAAACTGAAGCTAAACTAAAGTCTTGAGACATTAGGGTCGTAGTCAATGTGTTTTCAGGGGAGGTTGTAGACTGACATCAGAAAGGTGCTGGATACCCTTAAAGACCAAGTTCACTGTTTTAAACACATCTGCAGTGGTCTCTAGTGTAAATCAATGCCTCGTGAGTCAATCTCTGTGGGGAAAAAAAGTTCTGGTGCTCCTGTCTCAGGAATAATAAGTTGGCCAAAGGACTGGGAAATAGAAGGCAGAAGGATTTGAAGTCCTACTTCCTGATCTTCAGACCTCTCTGACTGGCTAGCAGCAACGCGACTCCACCAGCCCTTTTTACAAGACACATCTTGTCGGCTAATCAGCGTGATATTACCGCAACAGTGTGTCTTATAAATGCACTAAGCCGGCACGGTGTTGCACGCATTTTGCAGCATTCGTTCCACCTCGCTTGACAGTAATATTGCCGTAATGTTTTAGAAACAGCAACAGAGGGAGGTGCCGTGATGACGTGAGGAGTTAATGCCAAGCTCCGGTGGGCAAATATGTTGAAAATGAAAGTAAACACGGGAAATAAGTTTTGCTTTTTGAACAAAATCAGCTGAGACAGCAAGCTGGAGCGCTTCAGCGCTCCACTGAAGCTCAGATCATCAGAAACTGCACCGGGGCTGATGGAGACAGACACCTTTAGGAGCAACTTGTTAAAAATAACTTAACAATCATGGCTTCAATCGCAATAAAAAGCAAGTCATGTCCAAGATAAACGGAAGTCCGTGGCAACGCAAACACCGCCCCCATACTACCTTTATGCCGCCATTGCCTAATCATTTATAAAAAGGACACAAATGCGCCACATTACCACCACAATCTGACCACTTATAAGCAACCTAAGGGTCCCTGATGCCGCCACGGTGTTGCAGCAAATTCACGGCATTGTTTTGTAAAAACGGTGTCGGTACCAGATCGGCTCGAGCTCCTGCGCCCGCTGATGACGTCCCATTCTGGCAAATCCACTCGGCTTTCACACTCAAGTTTTGGAAAGACATCAGTAGTGTTGTTAATACATTCTTGTTTGTTACCACCTACATGTTTTCTTTATAATTGTAATTTGTTAATAAAACACCATATTATCTTTGATTTGTAAAGAATGTGAAACTGCATAAAACCAACAACAGACTGCCAAAAAACACAGCAGTTCTCGTTTGTGAAACCATATATGTTTGTATTAATATGGAATTAGTCTGTATATTTCCTTAGTTGTTATGTAAATACATTCATTCATTCAAAATGTTGCTTGCTGTCTTTTCAATAAAGTTCTTATATTTTATTTTATTCTATTTCATCAAAATGGAGAGCTTTTGAGGGTCACCGTTTATCAGTTGACATCTTTGCTTTTATTTTAAATTTCCTTTGAAAATTCAAACATATTTTCTCCAAAAGAGTTGATTTTTAAACTGCAAGACAAACACTAAGACTACAACCGTAAATTCTTTACTCATGACAAAAATAGCATGCGCTGATCAGTAAACACTGTAAGGCCCCCAGTGTACATCTTTGTGACCCACAGTGGGACACCTAACTTCATCTTTGGGAACCACTGCACTATATGACGTAACAGCTTGCCACACATGCAGCACCTTGACGTTGCCGCAGATCATCGACAAATTTCAGGGAAGCAAACAAGCAGATCTTGAAGTCTCTGGAGTTTATTCTGGAGTTCATTTTGCTTCAGTCGCTCTTGCTTCGTTTGGTAAAGAGAGCGTAGGATATTCCTGCTTCTAGATGGGAGCTGTGATCAGCTGTGACTAATGTATTCATAATGTGTACTTCATGTGCTCATGTCAGAACTCCATACCAAACACATGCATCCTTCATGGATTTGGAAACGCTTGTAAAAATGCTTTTAAATATTTAGTTATATGTTTATGTTTATGTATTTAGCAGACGTTTTTGTCCAAAGTGACTTACAAGAGACAATCTGCATATTGCCTTTGAGGCTAACAACAACAATAACAACAACAACTTGACATCAATCATGGGGAGTAGGGAACAAGTAGTGGACAGTAGAGAGGGGGGATGGGTGCAGGGAGGGTGCTAGTTTAGAAGATGCTCTCTAAAGAGCAGGGTCTTCAAGAGTTTCTTGAAAATTGAAAAGGAAGCCCCTGTTCTGGTAGTGCTTGGAAGGTCATTCCACATTTGTGGAACGATGCATGAGAAGAGTCTGGATTGTCCTGAGCGTGGTGTAGGCACTGCTAGCCGACGATCCTGTGATGACCGGAGCGGCCGGGCCGAGACGTAAGCCTTTGCAAGAGGATTCAGGTAGATGGGAGCCGTACCATCTCTGACTTTGTATGCTAGTGTTAGCAATTTGAATTTGATGCATGCAGCTAGCGGTAGCCATTGGAGCTCAATGAATAGAGGGGTGACGTGTGCTCTTTCTGGCTGACTGAAGACCAGACGTGCCGCTGTGTTCTGGACCATTAGAAGAGGTCTCACAGTACAGCCTGGAAGACCAGTTAGAAGGGCATCGCAGTAATCGAGGCGGGAGATAACAGTAGATTGCACCAGGAGCTGGGTGGCTTGTTGTTTTAGGTATGGTCTGATCTTTCATATGTTATACAGCGCAAAGCGGCATGAACGAGCAACAGAGGCAACTTGATCTTTAAAGGTCAGGTGTTCATCAATCACAACACCCAGATTTCGAACTGCCTTTGAAGGAGCCAGAGATAGGAAGTCATTTTGGATTGAGATAATGTGCTGTATGGATGGTTTTGCTGGGATGACAAGTAGTTCAGTTTTAGAGAGGTTGAGTTGGAGATGGTGGGATTTCATCCATTTTATCCATCCATTATATTTAGATAGTTTGCAGTAGCTTCTAGTTTCCAAAGCTCATCAATCTGATCACAGCTAATCCCAGCTTCACCAAACTGAGTTTTTTCAGATCTATCCACAGTAAACGAAACATCAGTGTTGCTAAACTTTCCACCACAGAAACCCTCTTCAATAATCGTGTTGCTTAACAACCTCAGGCTAAATCGTATGCTGTCGGCAGATTGTGAGACCCACGTTAGTAAATCGTGCCCTGGGTTTATCCTGCTGTGCTTGTTTTCACAGAGTTTAGTTTAATCTCAGTTCTGCTCCACGTCCAGAATTTCAGCTTAATTAAATCCACACTTTGAAGTGTTCAGGGGGCTGGCTTCCTTCCATTAAACCAACAGTCATTTAAAGAACCCGGACAGTTTGGTTGGTTTAGTTTTATACAGATGCAAACATCTGTAAACATCTGTTGGAGAAGATTCGTTACAGCCGAGTTTTTAACTGGTAATGTGAACTCTATGACAAAAATCATAATTTCCTATTTATTTCGTGTCCTTCAGAAATTTTAAATGGTATACTGTATATATATATAAATATGTATGTGTGAACATATTGAATTTTGTCCCTGTGACCAAAGATAAACTAATTCCCTCCACGACTAAAACCTGCATGAATGGAATCTTAAATTAAATCCCAAACAGATGGAATATAACCTACAGAACAAACTCTAAATTAAGATAATCTTAATCTTTTCAGAATATCACTCAAATAAAATCAGATTATGAGTCAGAATCCAGCTCACCTCCATCTGTTTGCAACACAAAAGCTTTATGTGAAAGAATACTGATCCACGATTTGAAATAATGACTCGGTTTAGAGCCGTAAACTGCTGATTTAGGACAAAAATCCCACAATATCTTTTTTTTCTAGTGCTTCAAGTAAAACATTTTAAACATCTATACAGAATATTATATATAATTCAATTCAATTCAAAAATACTTTATTAATCCCAGAGGGAAATTGATTAAATCCATGCAGGGACATCACTGAGGGTCAGATAAGTGTGATGCTGCCAAAAAAAAAAAAAAGATCCAGGAGGGGAATAATGGGAGGAGATTCCCAGTTTTCCCCTTGTGAGTGTGTGCCCTCCTCTGAGTCAGAGATGTATGACAAATCAGAGCTGCAGCCAGTCTTTACTGAACCTTGTCTGGGCGGAATGGTACATGACACATCTGGACAGGATGTCCGGCTACATGAAATATTAAATACGTATATGTGGTTGGATTGTTGCTGTAATATAAAGAGTGTTTTTCCTTGAATAAAATCATAATTCCACTGGAGCACATGGATTCTGGGCTGAGCGTCACACTTTACGCACATCCAAACCAGATCAAGCATTTCTACAGTGACTTAAACTGGCGTGAGAAAAATAAAAAATGTTGAATCAAATATGAAAATAAAGGTTTCTTTGAAGGCAAAAAAGAACAACCCATCTGAAATATATCCTTACAAAGACAGAAAACGCGCACAGATGGTGCGCCACTAAACAAAACAAAAGACAGTGAGGGGTCCCACCTCCATTCAGGACTAACGCTCAGCTAAAAACGGGATTGATGACGGAAGAAGCTGGAGTTAACTCACCTCTACAAAGAAAGGATCCATCTTTCAGGGCGCTTCTCGTCTCTTTGTAATCTGACCTTAAAGCACCGAGGAGGAGAGAAAGCTGTACTCCCGGTTAATTTCCATCTGCTTGGTTCAGATTTAGAAAAGTTCTTGTTCTGCCTCTTCTGCACAGATCTGCTCAGGTCAGACCCAGAGCATCCCAGTCCTTCCTCGGTCCCCCAAACCGCGTCTCCTGCGTCCCGACGTGCGTCTGTTTGCGCTGTCTGGTGGTTTCATTCAACCCGGCTCATTATGCAGGTAGGAGGAGCCTGCAGGCTGCAGACCTCCCCTTCCAGCATACGCCCTCTTTGTTTCTGCTCCACAAAGATCCTGCTGCTTTACAGGAAATGCACGTTGCTGACACTAATGTTACTGAACTCTAAATGTTTACAGAAAAAATAAGGAATGCGGCCGTTTTAATGCGAGTGTGCAAAAGGATTCAAGAAAAGCCATATATTTGCACCTCCTTAAAAATCTAACAGTTTTGTTTATTAAGAATCTTAATTATTAATATTATTATAATATTTTATGCATTTAGGGTTATTAATTTCTTTGTAAGCAGAGGGAGTGCAGGACAAACGTCCACTCCGTGAAGTCAATTATGTAATAATAAAAACTAAAACGAGCTATTTTATTTTCTATGTATTTTAGAATAGAATAGAAGACCTCTTTATTGTACCTCAGTGGGGAAATTTTGGTGCAGCAGCAATTAGTTACACAGGAGCAAAACAGGTGAGTAAAGAACAAAGAGTACTTCAGCAAAATACATAAAAAAAGAAGAAATACTTAAAATACATAAAAATATTAAAATTTTCATAACAAATTTATAATCACAATACAAAAATACGTGTAGAAATGTTTTTATACAAATTTAACTCAACATGTTTATTTGGTAATTTGCAGTGTTTTTTATGTTTACTCTAATGTACTATACTATACTATACTATACTATACTATGAGTTTCAGCTTTATATGTGGACTATGGAACACGAACAGCAAAGCGATTTCTAGTGTGTGGGGGTTGTAGTTGCAAAAATAGAACAAATAAATAAAGAAATATTCGATTTTTTCATTAAAATTTAGCTCTTAAAGAAAATACTGCACCCTCATTCACCTCTAAATGCCCTGTGGAGGTATTTTTTACTTAAAAAAATATAGCTTTTTATTAAATTGTTCCATATTCGACCTTTAAGTTTTTTAAACAAAAATAAGTGAATAAATCCACATTAATAGAACCATGCATGCAGGTGAAGTAATATAATAAGTGTATATTGTAAAAAATGCCACATTCTGTATGATGGAGTCTGTTGAAAAACCTGATGACAGAAATGAAACCAGTATGCATCACACACAATAAAACCAGTTTATAATGGAAGGTCAGGCTCCGATGCCCCCTGCCCCCCATGGAGAGACCTCAGGCAAAGTCACTCAGGTCAGGACTCCTTAACACCCTGATGTCTAATAGTGGACGAGTCTGGCTTTAGCTTGCATGGTGAACATTCCACCTCAGCCCCACCATCATATCGGTCTGCTGGAGATGGTTTGATTACATAAAGACCCCCGTCTGTGTGCTGGTGCAAGAACAGTGGATGCTATTGATCCAGACTGGGTTATATCATCAAAGCAGCAGCTGCTTGTTGGGAATCTGTAGCCTGCTAAATTCAACCACATTCAATTTCAGAGCAAAAAGGTTACCCAACAAAAATATTGCTAAAGATTTCAGCTGAATTTTTCTTGTTCAATTTGCATAATAAACTGATTAAATACAAAAAGGATCATATTCAACCTAAGACTAGCATAAAATCAGCTAATCTACTCATGTATATACGGTGTACAGTGATGTGAATTTCACTAATAAAACTATCTTTGCTTATTCATCCCCCATGGGGTCAGCGGGAACACAACCGGGAGGCTAAAACAAATTAAATCTGATGTTATTCAGGTAAGAGAAGACAAAAACAACATATTGAAATAAAAATGGAATGGCACCATCAAACAGAAGTGATCTAATCTTTATCGAATCTCTCCGGCAGACAGCATCACATTAAGGTGTAAACACGGTCGATGACAAATAACGGTGGAGCGTTTATTAAATTACATGGAGCAGCACAGAGGCATTACTCACACCTCCATCGGGAATCTTTATTGTTGTTATGAGAAAGCATGAGCAGGAATTAAGGGACACATACGTATTCTATGTGATAACAAGCAGATTATAACTGATTTTGTCCTGCTTTTGTTTTCTGTTTGTCCTGGTAAGGATGCACAAACACACAAATCCTCTAACACATGCAGTTTTATAGATTCATTGATTGTGTTATTCCACTGCAGCACATTATAGATGTAATCTGGAGTTTTCCCCCTTTCAGGAATTATGTAGAATTTTTTAGAAACCTGTAATAGTCTCACTCTGTACTGTGATATGATAAAATCAATAGGTCAAACTTTTTTACTAAGCCCCACATCCCGTAGCGCCCCGTGCAATTTGAATTGAGCAGCGCTCAGCATTCGCCAACAGTGTTAGACATCTGCTTACGTACAGATGTCAATCACAGAGCAAGTGCAAGCGTTTGCAGAAAAACCTAGACAGCTGCCGAGTGGGCGACATTTCGCATGGATAATAACTTTTTTTTGGTTCGTTTAATTAAAGCTACAATGGCAAATTTGGAAAATATATTAGATTAAAACTATTTTTTGTCCATGCATCCTAACAACGTTCTAGTATAGTATAGCTATAAATATATTGCGAGGGAAGAAAACGAATAAAGTGGTTCTCTTGCATTTGTCTGCAAACCTCTGCCATTAACATGTTTTGAACCAAAAGCAACCACTGGACCATCCGGTGGTTGGTCTCACTGCAGTTCCCTGGGTCCTCCATTCATTACGCACTTGCATGTCTAGCAACAGAACACCAATGGTGTGAGAGGTTCTCTGCTCAATAACGTCAGAGGAGAAATAGCCGGCTGCTACCACTTCAACTTTAGGACAAACTACCTGAGTCCCAAAAAGAAAAACACAATTTGAAGTCACAGACTAGAAAAGACGTCTGGACCTAGAAAATGGTGACTGGTGTTTAGCACTTTCTCAGATCTTCTGGCAATGTGAATGCCAGTATCAGGCGAATGTGGGCTGGAGATGAAAGCCGATGGGAATGGTGAGAGTTCCGTGACAGTGTAACGATTAAATTTACTTGTTATTTGATGATCCATATGATGTGAGATTCCATTGGAAATATGAAATCAATCTTATGGATCTTTGGATAGTTTAAACCAGAAGATAGGAACTTTTTATTGCAGGGATTACGTAACCACTTCGTATTAACTCAGAGACAAAAGAAAGAGAGTCAAGTTTAAAAAGTTTAAAGATTTATTGCTAAACAAATTAAAACTAGACTAACTTTAACACTAAACGTATGGTGTAACTAAGGTGAAGTAAGACTGATGATGGTGTATGTGTGAGATGTTCAGAACCAGCAAATCTGGAGAAACAGTTAGTTCTGATGGGAGTGAAGATGATGTTTCGCGCTAAGCTTTTGGTTTGGAGATTCATAACACACATTGAGACGCCATTCTGTCGGTCTACGTACCCAGCGGAAGTCCCCGTCTAGATCAGGAGGTGTAGAGGTCCAGCTTGGACCTTTCTGGAGCCGAAGCCTGTAGCCCAGCCGCGGCCGCCAAACAGTCCAGTCTTGAGATACTTCCGGGTCATGACAGTTTTATTGGCATCTAGCAAGACCCAAAAAACGGGTCGATGGTTCAGCTTTTATTCTGAAAGGAACCGTTGCAGCAGGTGGAACAGCAACAGATTTTATCCAGCTTGTCCTTGGTTCTTTCGGCTGAAGAGGAAAGTTACGGATTGGCCACTCCGACAACTTCTCTAGAAAGCTTTGAACTGGAGTTAAAGATGACGTGGGCATAGTTTTATAATTTGGATGTTTTGATTTACGGTTGAATCAAAAAAGGACAGCTTTACCAAGCACCAACAAAACACGCCTCGCATCAGATCTGGAAGGCTCTGATTGGATCAGAAAAAGGAAATGTGTCATGTGATTCTTAACATTACGTGTGATCAGTCTCTAGTGGAAACATTTAAAGTTATGTTACTTATTTTAACTTACTGATCATAAACATTGTCATTTCACAGATTGGTTCACATTTTACTATTGGACTAACACTTTGTTTGATTAGCTTTATTAAAATAGAGTTCTTCTGATTTATAAAAAGAAAGAGTCCTTTGTCTTCAGTCTTCTCTTGAGCTGGAAAGGAAACTGTTTAGGAGCAGAGCATAAGTTCTTGAGCACTATCTCACGCAGATTAGGTTTGTGTCAGAGACTTCTGGTTTGCTTTGAGAAGAGAAAAACGGAGCATTGCCTTTAAGGTCAGAAATGGACAATTCATCACGCTACAACAGTGTTTGCGTTAAAAGGGATACTAGGCACCCCCCTAGTGTCCGTCATTAATTCACTGTGGTTAAACTGAAAATGAAACTTAATTCCTCACCGTGACTTTGTCTTTTAACGCCTTCATCTAACGCTGGAATGTCTCCTCGGACTTCATTAGTTTCTAGAGGAGTGGTTCATCACTAAATCAAACTGTGTTCACCATCAGTAACATGCAGGAGCTATGTTAGAAGCGGACTCCAGCTCCCCCCACCAGCAGGGACCGGAACGGCAACTCTGAAGTTGCAAGTCTGGAGTTGTATTCTGGCCCCAGGAGCCAGTGGGGTCTGAGTGACATTTCATTATCCCTGTAAATGGTCATTTTAGCACATACTGACTCAACAAAATGATTTAAAAATATTAAAACGTTTCATAGCATCTCTTTGAAAGCTAGCTTGCTTTGCAGATTTGCTATTACAGCTTTAAAGATGCAATACATTTTTCTGTCTCTAGATGATGCTCTCTGACAAAAAAAAAACCCTCCAAATGTCTGCATATAGGTAACAGAGAGCAGTTTCCTGCCCCTCCAATCTACTGGTTGAATGTGGAATTACAACTACTGTAAACAATCCTGCAGCAGCCTGCTATAGTTAGCACTACCAACACGCTAAAACTGACATGAGCTAAATTTTACTAAATAAGCCACAAATCAGAAAGCTTCACAGTGTTGGACAAACACTTATTACTCACAAAGTAGCTCAGGAGGTAGAGCGGGTTGTCCTGTAATCTGAAGGTTCGATTCCAGCTCTCACCAGACAATGCTGCTGTTGTGTTCTTGAGCAATACA